ATGATGAGCCATAATTTAGCAATGGATAACGTCATACTGCAAATTGTAAAACATACATTTTCAATATAACAGGCCAAGGAGAGATTATACGTCTCACTGCTATAACTGTCACGCTATTAAAGAAATACTTCAGTCTCATTGTCAAAAGTTAAAAGGACAGTCAGTCAACTACACTGTAACAACGTAACGTACAGTAATTACTAGCTAATTCTGCTTCACTCTTGGCTTATTTAACAGCAGCAAAACTGGACATGATAGTCACGAATTTTGTCATGCTTATTTGAGTTAAGAGAACTGATGGGGATTTTCTTTTAATTGTTATTCAAGCAATGTATGTCTCGTGACCAACTCACCATGAACACACTTCACCGATGATCTCACTCGCGGATAACTGGTTCTCTTTGCCCGACTCTGGCTGGATCAGCAGGTTGCAGGATGTGTGGCGCGTTATACACGAGTGTTGCCAACAGGGACGGTGTAGAGTGCCCTCTGGTGGACAAACTATACAACGCCAACACTCATGACATGGTTGAAGGGTGTTTCGTCCGTTTTTATTTTATTTTTGAAATATTCATTTATCGGCCATTATAAATGCTGATACCGATAGTTTGGAAAATGCCTAATATCGGCCTGCCGATAAATCGGTCGGGCTCTACTAAAAAACTGAAGTGTGCGTTTACAAAAATGTTTTACACACTTCTGTTTTCAGGTCCCCCTGGAATTTTTCCAGAAAATGCACCATTTCCCCCAGAAAAATGTGTGGTATACACGTTTATTTCCTTTATGTGCATTGGATCAACACAAAAAAACAGAGAGAAAAAAAAAAGCCAAATTTGACATCATTTCACACAGAACTCCAAAAATGGGCGGGACAAAATTATAATTTTATTTTATTTTAATGTTTATGCAAAAATTACATTATACAATTTTGTCATAGGATGTATATAACTTTACATTACTTATATTCTGTTTTGTGTATGCATGTGGTTCTGTGTGACCGTCTGTTTCTAAGATGAAATCTTTAATAAATTGTTTCCATTAAACCATATTGTAGTACTGGGTAGCCTGTTTGCTCTGTTGTGTTTTATATAACTTGTATTATCTGCATAATGTTGTAAAATTCAGCTGTGTTTTACTACAGAAGTGGTTGTTCAACAGGCCGCACTGACAGGATGTACAAAGGAACTGTGTTGTTTCTTACTTAGAAAGGAGGAAGCTCAGTAACGTGGTTCTTTGTAAAAGTTAGAAAAAAATACAGGAGAATGGAAATCACATCTTATATCAGTCAGATAAACTGCAATAAAGACATATGTAAGTCTTACAGCTTGTGCCCATTGTTTCTGAGACCTAGACCCCTGTGAACAAACATAGGACAAATGGGCATAGAAAATGAATGGATGGATTTATGGAAGTCTTACAGGCTTTGCCTGAATAGTAAACACGCACAACACTGAATTCAAAACTACAAACGGAACAGTATAAAATTTATATATTAAGAAAACAGGTTTAATCTGTAACAAAACAACCCAGGTATGGACAAGAAACAATAACAAAACTCAAAGCATGAAGACAGCATCTTTGGCATCGACAGCTTCGTTTTGCGCATCCTGAGACTGGTGAGGTTTGAGTGTGGCATTAAACATTTTTTAAATGTTGTTCTGTCTTAAACATTGTGCATATGCATGAACCAGAAGGGGTCTGAGACTGGATATATCTGAGAGAGGCACCTGCAACCAGACACTTATTCATGTGTAGCCCAGATTTTTATCCATCCATCCATCCATCCATCCATCTTCTACCGCTATTCCGAGTCAGGTTGCGGGAGCAGCAGTCTCAGCAGGGAAACCAAAACTTCCCTCTCCCCGGCCACTTCGTCCAGCTCCTCCGGGGGAATCCCGAGGCGTTCCCAGGCCAGCCGAGAGACATAAAGTCTCTCCAGCGCGTCCTGCGTCTTCCCCGGGGCCTCCTCCCAGTGGGACATGCCCGGAACACCTCACCAGGGAGGCGTCCAGGAGGCATCCTGACCAGATGCCCAAGCCACCTCATCTGACCATAGGTAAGGGTAGGAACGTAGACTGACCTTTTGCCGTTTGGCTCAGCTCCTTCTTCACCATAACAGACCATTCTGGTTGGGCAAACTCCCACGCACCCTCCAGGACCCTGCCGAGACTATAGCGCTGGTCCACTGTTCCACGGCCAGGACAAAAACCACACTGCTCCTCCTGAATCAGAGATTCTGCAATTCGACAATCAACCAGGACAGCCCTGTAACATCCAGAGCCTTGAGGAACTCCAGTCAGATCTCATCCACCCCTGGGGCCCGGCCACGAGAGTCAGAACAGACAGTAGGCCATTGTATTACCCAAGCTGGAATAGGCCAAAAAGGGCCCTAAATATCGCTAATAGCAATCCATAAACTTAACAAATTACACTAACATAGGGCACTATCTGCAACCCACACCATTTGTATACTAACACATAATACCTATAATCATAAGCAACAGGTGGGTTAGCACAAATCAACTCAACAAACCCCAAACAAAAAGTTTTACACTGCAAACAAACCAATTGACGAAATGAGAAGTACAAAAAGATGGGGCTAATCCCAAATAAACACACTTCGAATCAACATGCGATCAGTACACAGCACACTCAAATACACTTTCACACACGACACAACAATAGGACTAAAATTAGCTACCCACTTCCCCCCAGTGAAGTAAGTGCTACACATTCGATGGTAATAATTGCACTTAGCCCTGATGGCCACTGATTGTTGCAGAAGGATTGCAATGGCCCAAATACCGTAACCATTTTACCTGATGCTAAGCATCAAGGTAACCAGTTAGCTACAACAGGAGATTTCACAACGAGGCTGAAGTTGGCTCCTTATTCAGATTTTCCGGTGTTCTGTCGATTTATGCTACCTTGTCGAAAAATGTTACCGTAGTGCTCATTGATAGCCCTAACCCTAACTCTTACCCTAACCCCCCAAAACCTAACCCTAACCCTAATCCCAAGATGGTGGAACTGCACATGCACAGAAAGGCTCGATAGCACATCTCGATAGGTAGTATTTTATGACAGAACACTGGTCCACCTTCAATGCAGCCCAATGCAATGACGCGATGAGGGGGGCTCATTTAGCAAGGCTTACCTTCAGAACTTCATTTGGCTTTCGATTCGTATTAATTGAACACAATTCTACTGACTTGTTACCACTTCGAGGAAAGTACATATCTAGGCAGTTTCGGTAATAGTATGTGTGTATTTTATCAGATAGTGAGACAAACGCAAACGTCTTTCCTCTCCCAATCAGGCCCGGAAATATGCCCAATCAGGCAAATATGAACTTCTCAGTACACATCAGGTACCCAACTATATAGAAAAAGTGACAATGCCCTGCATGGCCCAGACTAATTTAATGGTTTAAAAATCAGATGGAAACAAGTCATGTCATACTATAGCGCACAAAGGTGTGAATGAGAAGCCAGGTTTCCAGATTTTATTTGAGTATTCAATAGTACCAAATATTTTTTTTTATAACATTACTATTTAAGACAGTGAAGTGACTAAACATTGAAGAAGATTACTTACATTACTCAAACAGGTTAAATTACAACTTAAAAATATACTTAAAATGCAAGTATCTGAAACATTGCTTATTCATTTTTTCAACTTACACAATTTAATTATAAGAAATAAGTTTCCATCAAACTAAATCGTATAAATACAAGTAATATTAATAATTTAATATGCATATTAAGATTCACAAAATTTAAATTCAAGCACTAAAGTTAACAAGTTGATTCAAATAAATCTTAATAAACCTAGACATTTAAACAAGCTGTCTTCATAATTAAAGCTTATACATTTAATTAATTTATGGTTTATGAAGCTTGCTTAAGAAGGAACAGAATGAAAAGGCACAGCATTACCTTCCGTTTAATTTGTTTAGGCTCTACGTGCGTCTCCACTCCACTGGCTTATGCATGAGAGTTGCCAACCCTGATTAAAATGCGGTCAAAACGGCTTATAATGATCAGGGTTACAGTGTTCCTCCGCTTATATGGATCAAAATACTTGGGACAGAATCATTCCTGTAGAAATACTGTTTAAATAATTTGTTTATAGTAATCAAGTAGTCCACTTACAGTGTTCATTTGTAAACATTTCAGACGTAAAGCCAGTGCAAATGAAGGAATGGCTTCCTTAGTATTTCTTGTGATGTTAGATGTCTGTCTAGTATAGGTGTTACACAAATGTGAGGACAGAACAGAAGGAGAGAAGGTGATTTTGTGTTTATATGATCTTGAAGATTTTATTTCATACAACAGAATGCTTTGAATTTATTCAATGATTTTAGACATTCGAGAAAAAAGTACACGTATAGTCTACATTGAAAAAGTAAATGTGAAAATAATATCAGAATACTAATGTTTGTCAGGAAGATAAAGATACAACTTAAAGCAAGATAAGTTATATAAGTGAGTGAAGAGAGAATATGAAAGATCACCATATCATATATGACTCTCTGGCCTTGATCAGACAGGTTGATTCAGCACAGTTTTTAATTCTGCAGAATTTCAGGGATATTAAACTTTACGAAAAACAAATGCACTCCTTAAAAGGCAAGTTTAATATTTTATTGCTCACCAACATCAATCATGTTGCACTAAAAATCTGTATCATGCATTTATTTAGCATTCTGCCACATACAAACAAATAAGACAGCAGGCAATGATAAGCTGCATCCGAGTTAGCAAAAAATGTTGGTTAATTATGCTTGGGTTGAATTGGTTGATTATTGTTGTGTGTACTTCTCATTCAGCGAGTTTATGATGTTAACAATAGTTTCTTCCACTTTTTGTTTATCTGTGAGAGGACCCATTTCACTGGTGTCGGACTGATTCTTGTCTTTGCAGCACTCTCGTTTCTTCCAGATTAATACTCCCACCATAATGAGAACAAGACTGAAAAAGGCTGAGGTCTGAGTCACAAAAAAGAAAATACACCAACATGAAATTCTTACTGATGGTTGACAATAGCATGACGTACTAGATGCATGGAACTCCAGGCATTACTACCTACAGGGTACCAAGGTTTAAGTGCAGTTCTTACCTGAGACCATGCGTAGTACTTTATAGTCTTATTCATCTTTTCTTCATTTGATGTTTTATTTGTATCATGTGGTTTGCACCACATTTGCATAGTATTAGTGTCCATAGGGACATATTCTCCTTCCCAGTTAGTCAATATGCATGAAAAATATTTTCCATCAAGCAGCAGCAAAGTTAACCAAGCCAATGCTGGAAAAAGGGTTTTCAGTGCACGATAACAGGTGCATTCCAGCTTTTTTACAAAGAGAAAGCATAATAATAAGCCTGGAATGACAAAGAAAAACAGAGACAAAAATATATTCCATATTTGAATGCAGGGACAAAAAAAATCTGCTTCCAGTAACTTCTGCAGAGTAAAGAGGCTAACAGCAAAAAATAAGTTGAATTTATTACGAGAAACAGACCAACTTTGTGCCATTGTAAATACTACACAAAAAGTATGCAGAGGTGCTTAGATATCTATTCTTTCAGTTTCATCGGTTTAGAAAAATGAAACTGCATTCTGATTGGTTCGGATCTGAAGATAATGCATGTGTTTTTTTCATATTCCCTCCCATGCTTACCTGTCAAAATATGAAAATATGAAAAATAATTTTTCATATTGGGGTGGAAATTATGCAAACGTGCAGTTTTGTCCTGAGGAGTGCATAAGTTTATACTACTTACATAGTTTTATTGTGTGTGCATGTGTTTGTGCGTGTGATTATACATTTTTAAGTTGAATCGTTTCATAAACTGCATAAAATTTAACTGAGGGACGGGGTAACTTCATATGCTCTGTTGTGTAGAGTTTGTTTGTCTGCATGTTATAAAATGCAGTTGTGTTTTATTACAGTAGTGGTTGTTGAACAGGCTGCACTGACAGGATACACAAAGGAGCTATGAGGTGTCTTAGTGAGAAAGGAGGAAGTTCAGCAGAAGTAAAAAAAAATATATATATATACAGGACCGTCTGCTGTGTGACTTGTAAGAATGAGCTGAGGAGAGAAATCACATCATTTATCAATCAGCCTGTCTTCCTATCTCTGAACTGATGTTAAATTGAAATCCTTAACTAGCTGTTGCTGGCCATCCTGTCCTCCCTGTGTTGTACAAGTATTTAGTGTGTTTCCCTTGCTCTCTGCACTGCTGCATGGTTCTATGGGCTGAGCGTGTGGCTGCCACACCCTGTAGTCTTGTGTTTGAATCCAGCCACCTGTTTTTGTCTTTAGTAGATTTTTGTTCCCTAGTGTTTCTATTTGTATGAGTTTTTCTACTTCCTGTGTTTTGTGACTTGTATTCGGTTTTGCTTTCTGCTTTGTGCCCATGGTTGTGTTTTACCTCTTTGTTATGCCCTTAGTGTTAGATTCTGTTTCCTCCATTTTTCCCTGCCTGTTCTCTGTGTAACTAGTTTCCCTTTGTAAATTATTTTGTTCTGTTAGTTACTTTGCACCCCTTGTGGCTGCGTGCAACGAGGAAGAGGGACAGTGAGAAGCGTGGAGGCAGCATGTTAGTGAACTTAAAGTTTATTCCTGTGCCCCCTTTCCCACACTCAGTCTGACTTTTTGCAAACCCCATTGCCAAAGAGCCAAGACTCTCTCACCACATTCATTACCTGAGACAGATACAGACTGCAGCAAATGGGTCCCTCTATGGCATTGATGTCAACCTGGCTGATGGCACATGAGAGCTCATAACATAACTTTCAAGAAGACTGAGTGACACAAAAACACACTATACACAATCTGAAAAACAGATAGTAATAATCACCAGGGGCCTGTATCACAAAGTTGGTTCAACGATGTCATTAAACTAAAGAAATGCAATCTGAGATGAACGGTATCACGACGCTGACTATCATCAATCTATATCGAGACGGATTTTCTTACTGAAAAGTTGTTGACATATTTTAGAAGATCGACATCCATGTTCATTTAAAATTGCACCTCCCCAAACACCATGACCCTGAATAGGACAAGCGGTTTCAGAAGATGGATGGAAATATACACCATGTCTAAAATATATTTATATGTGTGAAAGATATATTTGGATCTACGACTCTGGAGTATATTCAAGAGATTCAAGATTCTTTAATTGTCACATGCATAGTCATACAGGTACAACATGCAGTGAAATGTATCCTGAACCACTCTTTTGACTGTGCAACTGTTACAAGGGATATGAAAGGAAATAGAAAGGAGAAATAAATAAAATATTAAAATAGAACTTTGGATATAATATGTATATATATGAAATATAGTATTGAAAACAGATTTACAGATGTGCTATATGCGTTATAAGTTATAAAGTTAAAGTGCATTGTATGGAAAGATGACAATGAGTATGAGACCCTGAGATGGTTGCTGCCCAGTATAGTATAAAGTACTATAATAATACTATAACTATAACACCGTGTAGAGAGAAAGGGGTGTGTCCTGAATGAGTCGTCAAATGGCCTAAGGATAGAAACTCCTTCTGAGTCTTTCAGTCTTAGCCATGATGTTGTGGAACCTTCTGCCTGATTGCAAAAGCTGAAATATTTTGTTACTAGGATGAGAGGGGTCTTTAACAATCCTTATGGCTCTGGATCTACATCTCCTTGTGTAGATGACCTGCAGTGAAGGGAGAGCTGACTTGCAGCAGCGTTCCGCTGCACGGATCACTCACTGAAGTGCTTTTTGGTCCAAAGCGCAGCTGTTGCCGTAACTTAAATATATATATTAAAATCATAGGTTAGCACACATAAGGAAAGGGCACAAAATGCTAAAATGATCGATGTGCATCTCTGTTTCTGGACATCAAAGGTCTATAAGAAAAACTGCCTGGCTTGCTTGCTTAAAGCAGTCCCATTCCCAATGCAGTATAACACAAATATATTTGCTGCTAAACAGAGAGCTACTAAACTGTTTTTGTAATAGTGACAATAAAGATCTATCTTATGTTAAAGATATTATTGCCCGAAGACTGAATATTGAATATACAGCTAATGTTACAGCAGTCGCGGGATTCTCATGGACAAGCCATTTCGAGAGTTTGGGAAAGCCCGTTTGTTACGTCAGATAATATACCGCTTCTTCTCTTTGACTGGTCACAAGAACACAAAGAAGAATCTATTTAGCAGTGTTTTCGTGACACAATTCCCCATGTCTTTGTCTAGGCGCTGACATCGGAGCGGCTGCTCCATCCTGGAGGCAAACATCATCATACCTGCAGCCGCACTCCTCCTTGGCAAACAGCAAACAGATCAATGTAGAACAGGGAAGAACGCAGCTTGAATTCATCACAAACCATCACACGTAGGAAAGGAACCGAAACAAAACTCAAAGCAGTGATGAGAAAGGACTGTGTCTCCCTCTGCTGATGAAACAAGAAACCTGCAGCCAAACCTCTCACTCTACAGGTACATCTCAAAAAATTTGAATATCATGAAAAAGTTCAATATTTCTTGACATTCCTTTCAGAAAATGAAATTCATATATTATATAGGTTTTCTTGGAATTTCGATTATTATGGCTTACAGATAATAAAAGCAACCTGTGCTTCCATCACACCTCAGCAGTGCTACAGGCTGATCGCCTCCATGCCACGCTGCATTGAGGCAGTAATTCATGCAAAAGGGGCCCAACCAAGTATTGAGTGCATAGGAATGAACATACTTTTCAGAAGCCTGACATTTCTGTTTAAAATATCCCTTTTTTTAATTGATCTTATGTGATATTCTAATTTTCTAAGACAGTGAATTTTGGGTTTTATTATCTGTAAGCCATAATCATCGAAATTCCGAGAAATAAAGGCTTGACATATTTCACTCTATGTGTAATGAATCTATATAATATATGAATTTCACCTTCTGAAAGGAATGTCAAGAAATACTGAACTTTTTCACGATATTTTTTTTAGTGATCCTCACTATTTTTCTCACAAGAGCCACATTACCAGAGCCTCTGTTAATCTGGGGAGAGCCACTTTCACGACAAAATACCAAGTCACCCACACAGATGAGTATTTCTACAAATAAATTGGTCATCCCACAAAAAAAGAACACAGCCAGTACATATTCAATTAAGACCAAATCCACGCTATTTCAAAAGATGCCTCTGTTAATACATTTTTAGAAATGTATTGGCTGTGTTATCATATTGTTATAAGCTACCACGGGAGCCACCAATTAAAGCTTGACGAGCCACATAATGAGTAACCCTCTATACTATGTTTAGCACGCTTTTGTTCAAAGCAACATACATGTGAGGATCGGACAGCAGGTTCAGCCAGTGTCCCTAGAGCTATTGGGGTTAAGGCGCCTGCTCAAGGCCCCCAGCAGTGACATCACTCTGCCAGCCCCAGCATCTGAATCTGACTTTCCAATTGCAGACACAGAGTCCAAACCCAGAGAGCCATATAACCCCCCCCAAAGTCTGCCATTGATCAGGCACATGATGTACCCAATGCACAGAAGCATCAGCTGATTGAAGCAACACTCAGGAGTTCATGAGACATATCACTGTCATGTTCTCATAGCCTTAGTTTATTCATCCATCTTCTAATCAGGGTTTCAAGGAGACCTTTCCTAAGCAGCCTAGGGCATAAGGCCGAAATACTCCTGGTTGGGATGCCTATTTGTTGTGATATGTTACAGGGCTAAAGTGATACGTAATAACAGGAAGTGACATTGATATTGCGCGTCCTAGTGTATATGGAATAAACAAGGAGTTCTACAGCATTCCTCTGTGTTCATCACTGGTCCAATAACACTTATCTATCTATCAAAGGGTACATACATACACACGATGGGCTATGGATCTATTAATTTCACTTAAGCATGGATAGTAACAGGGCTACAAATTTCAGTGCAGAGAAGGATTATGGTAAAATATAAATATACAATAAAGGCGAAGAGCAACGCCGTGGCTGCAGCCAAAGAAGGTATGTTGGCAGCCAGTGGAGGCTGGAGGTCTTTCAAACTGGGAAAACTGGCCAGTCCAACCTAGTCTGAAATAAACCTACTAATGAAACGAAGAGCAAACTCAAGAGGGCAATATTTATGTTTTTATTTACAGTGGGATATGTACAAATGAAAATCGAAAAAAATGAAAAGACTTCACTCGCCAAAAATCCACATGGGATTGAACTTGAAATGCTCTGATGCCGAAAGTATGATTTCAAAACTCTTATCAGTCATAAAGAGGTACATTCACTTTGACAGTTCCTCTGATCTTCATGCAGCAGCCCTGCGTCCTGGCCTGCCTGCTGCCCATTAGGGGGCGCTGAGCTTCCCTGGAAAAGACACTTTGAAGCCTGTCCAATAAACATCTAGCTTTGCTGCACTGCAAATAGAAGAAGCAAGTCTAGCAGAGTTGCCAGGTCCGCGGTTTTCCCGCCCAATCGGGCTATTTTGTAAATACAGTTGCGGGTAAATATTAGGAGGTCATGGGTTGCGGGTCTTTGGGCTGCTTTCATAATGTTCCATGGCAGCGGACTGTAAGGGGGAAAAGAAATGAATTATTATGAATGAAAGTGGCTCCTAATGCTGAATAATACTGAATCGCTAGACACCGAAAGTCAGAGACACACACACGGAAAGCAGGGTTGCCAATTCTCACACAGATGTCCTGTAAAGTGTGGTTTAGGCAATGGACTATGTGGGATAAGGCACCCCAGCTGATTTTTAGATCATGCATTTATATACATCTTTCTTAATAATTGCATTGTTTCCATTCACTACCAGCTATTGAATGTGAAGTTCATCATTTAATTAAAAAAACAAATAATTAAAATTTGCCTGTAATCTGGAAAACCAAAAAGCAGAACCTATATCTTGTTACAGCACAGATTGCCTCTTTCACTATGATTGTTAAATCTTGTTACTATCATAGTGAAAGGGCTTGAAACGCAAAAAAGTCTGGTGTGCATCTCTGCATGTGGACATCAAAGGTCTGTGATTAAAAAGCTGCCTTGTTAAAACATACACAGCTACAAATATACAGCTAATGTTTCCGCAATGACAGGGTTCTCGTGGGAAGAAGCCATTACAAGAGTTGAGGAAAGCCCCTTTGCTACATCAGGAAACATACTGACTTCTCTTTGACTGGTCCAAGCACTGTTTGAGATACGTGACTCTGAAACCCGGCCTGCTCCATACAATAAATCAGGAAGCATAATAGGAAATCTGTAAATCAGGCGTCTTTGTGATAAGTGTCTGCAGGGCACAGGATGGTAGAGAACATGTGGATCTTTAAGTAACAGCCACAATGCCTGTTTGCTGGTTCCCTCACCATCACTCACACCTTTCAGCCTCAGACTGACTTCCTCCTCTTCCCAAAGACATTGTTGATCAGTTTTGCCATGGACTTGGACCCGCTGTAGCGGCGCCGGTCAGCCCGGTGTTTCAGGTATTCCATCACACTGCGGATAAGCTTGGTGAAGAGGTTCGAGATCTCCTGGTGGTCTTCAGCTGCAGAAACCTCCTGGAAGAAGCACTTGTTTTCCTGGGCCAGGGAGCGGCCCTCCTCCTCGCTCACCTGCCGGGCGTGACACAGATCCTGCTTGTTCCCCACCAGGCAGACAGGTACCTCCACCTCACTGAAACAGGTGAGAGCAGGTGAACCCCAAGTTCGGGGATTTCCCTCATTCATTGCACACCACTGCTGCAGTAGGCCTATTCTGCTTGAGATGTGTACAAAGAGGCTTTCTCCAGATTTACAATTTTTCTATCCTATAATCAGCTCTAGTTTATTTCTTATGCAAATTGACAGCTATTTTCGTGTTAAATATTTCACATGAGAATGGCTTCCCTAATCTTGAATCAAGGCCCAAGTCAATGCCACAAAGTCACTATGAGGATGCTACAAGGATGCAGCAAGAACGGAGCTGCGTTTTGTTTTACTAGGTTGGCCGTCTGCGTGCTCAAGCTCAATGCTGTGTAACTCCACAGAAGCTACCATCCATGTGGCTTAACTGACCACAACCTTATCAGCTCCTGCTGTGCCTCACCACTGTACAATTTAGTTTTGTCTCTAGATGACTTTCCTGTAATCAATGGCCAAACAAAAAAAGACAACCAACATCTGTTAATATTTCATGATATTCAAATTAAAACAAAACTGTAAACAGCCTGATTTAGTGGAGCGGGATTATTAACTTCCAATTATAATTAACCTGAATCCTGTAAATATGGATATACACTGATGAGAAATATTATTATCACAACCATGTGAAGCGAATAATGTTAACAATCTAGTAAAAATGGCACATGTTAAGATTTGGACTATATTAGATGGCAAGCTAACATTCAGTAGTCATTCACATCCCGCATCAATGAGTCTCGGCCACCCAACATTCTGTCAGCAGTTTACGGTTCTTCCCTCCGTGGACCATCCTCAGAAGGGTCTCCCCATGGCTGACCATGAGCACCCAACAAGCTCTGACCTAGTCGTGTGGAGATTTTAATTTGGCCCTTGTCAAAGTCACTCAGATTTTTATGCCTGCCCATTTCTTCTGCATTCAACATGTCGACAACGAGCTCTGAATATTAGCGTACGATCTGATACATGGAATGTTTTTACCGGATAGTCAAAAGTGGTGTATATGTATGCTATATTTTTCATAACGCCCAGTTGGTGCTGTGGTCATTCTCTTGCCCTAATTGAGTGATTTTTGTGTTCCCAGCAGCAGTGTGTACATATCCCAGGAAAAGCCTGCTTTTATTAGCCAGTTCCTGGAGTTGTAGGGGTCACAGGGTCGTGGGGGTGTGGCTTACCATTTGCAGTTCCCGGCACGAGCCTCTTTGATCTGACAAAGTGTGCTCTGGGCATTGAGGAAGGACAGGCGGTTGCTAATGTCGTACACCACGATGAAGCCGTCGGCCCACTCCACCGGTTCCTCCGTGATGCACCTGCTCTGCACGGTCTAAGCAGAGAGAAGGGGGGAGCGACAATAGGAAATAACACTGTCCTATATGACTAAGTGGAACCTAACCCCCCCCCCCTCAATGAGACACTTTCTGCCCTTCATGATGGCAAAATAAATTGGCACACTGAAAACAAGCTTTCTTCACCCACATTTTTAGGCATTTCCAGTAGAACTGCTATTACTGTATATTCTCCTATATCTCAGCAAATAAGCACAATGATTTGCTTTCTAGTAATGTCTTATGGCAAAAAAAGTCTGGAAATTCCCTGGAATGTCCTATATGCAGCCGTTCTCAGATTTGAGCGAGTTAAGCTACACTCCTTAGTCTTCAAAGAGGGAATAATAGGTTACCAGGATTCAGTGTAATCTCATAAAACCCACCCAATCAGAACCTGCAGGCGCTAGCAGGAAAGGTCATATGACAGTTTACCACCACCCCTGTGGCACCATGAGAGGGAGACCCAGCTGTACAGAACCATTACAGCATGCTACAGCACTCTACAAACATGCAGCATTTTATAACTATCAGATTCGAGAGACCAATTATGTCATATTAATAAAGATGATGTATGAGCATGTACTTCAGAACACGGATCGAAAACTTCCAGATTCAATTGTCGGCCATCGATGGAGAACCTTTTATGGTATAAGGAACCTGCAAGAGAAATTTAAACAAATCACGTCAGAGGTGATGGCAGCTATAATGGGGAACACACACTGGATTTAATTTATTTGATAGATGAAAGTAAACAGGTGTTTATGAGCACTGCACCAAAGTGGAGAATACCAGTTCGCACATAAGGTTGCAATATTGAGCCCCTGATTACCGCAAGCCCCAAAAATCCATGGTATGACCGTTCTGTTGGAGCAAATTACCGTCTTTAAGGGAATCAGCCACAAGTGGAGTAATTTGAAATCATGCACGGTTCTGGACAATGTAACATCTGGGTTGTATCCCTTCGCCTTTCCTAACAAGGAGGCGTAAACAGCAGAACGATTGTTTGCAGCCTCCGAATGCCGCTTGGCATTGCCACCATTTTAGCCCCTTGTGGAATCCCAGTGTGGATGAGACTCTGTCAGTGCTCTTGATTAACACTAAGTGTAAGATTGTGAAGGAGGGCTGGTTTGTGATTTATTGCTGCCTTCAGAAGGGTGTCAAGAAGGGTGTGCGTGTGTGTGAGGTCATGCTAGGAAACGGCGTCACTCACTGGCATTGGAGGCGTACTCGCCGATGAATCGCTTGGTCAGGAACCTCACAAGGATGGCTGGCAAGAGGCAGTCACAGAACCGGAATCACAACCAGCTTTATTTCACCAAGTACAGTATGTGCAAGGAATTCGTTTTGCACATATTAATACACATACAGCGTTAACTCTGAGGTGGTTGCTAAGGCATGACTGTCGAATGAGCAGCAGAGGGCAGAGTGGGAACCGAACGCTTTCGACCAAAGCATCAGAGCGTTATTTTCTGTGCCTGTGTAACTTTCAGATACTCCTTGCCCTCATGTGTAAGCTTGCTGCTTCCACTGTATACAATATCCAGCACAGGAAGCCGTGCTGCTCTGCCCTCCCATGAGGCCAGGTCTCAGGTTTCACTGCACTCTTTCGCTCTTCCGTTCCATATGCCTGCCGCCGCCCCCCCCCCTCGCCTTGGGCCCCCCTGCAGCTGGTGAAATACAGATCTCCAGCCTTAAACTTGGCAGGGCAGACCAGAGTCTGTTGTTGTCTCATTCACCTTCCTCTAGTGCTTCACTTTTCAGAAACCTTATGGACAGATTTGTGATGAGTTCCATTCCTCCTGAGAGAAGCTTCTACCTCCTTGTACTATAAAACATACCCCTGCGGACTGGATTTACCAGGCAGAGCCAAAATGCTACGTGTAATGCAAATTTCTTATTTATTTCCTCTGACTTTGCTATGTTTATCGGCAACCCACTGTCCCAACTCACTTGTTAAGGCAAGGAGATGGTCCACAGTCCACACAGTGGATGCATCATCATATGACCATAATTTTAATTGCTTTCTATCCAACCCCAGTGTTAATAAATACTGGTGCTAATTAGGCAGGTAGCTCATATGTCATTTTTGTCCTCCTCCCTCTTGCTTAACGTCAAACGTACCTTCCCCACACTCACCAGCCTGACCAACACAAAGAAGCGGACGGAGGCAGAAGAGCGACACCCCCCAGCGTGCCCCCTCCCCGCCCTGCCCTCACCTGATTTCCCGGCTCCTTCGCTGCCCAGCAGGGCCAGCTTGATGTCATTCATGTCTGCCGCTGCTCCGACCCTCTGTGGGCTGTAGAGAGACAGAGTCTGCACTGCCCACGAGAACCTCTCAGCTGCTGGAGGAGCGGAAAGGAAAAACACACCCGCAGCCTTTCTTCTCCCCTCCCACTGCACGAGAACGGATCCAAGGGCTACCCAGAGGTCACCTCCTCGGCGAACGCCACCCAATTCCCTGCCTCTGTCTCCTATAAGGCTCTGCCTCACGGAGGAGGAGGTATGTGGCTGTAGTGTGGCTAAAGGAGAAGCGGCAGGCTTTGGGTTCATTTTTAAATGTTTACACGATCCTTTCAGATCTCCTTTCCAAACATCTGTATTTGGCACAGCGAGATGTGTCCTTTCAACTAATCGTCTTGTTTTGCTCCTGAAAGAAAATCTGCACATACACAGTGATAACTGTTGTAGAGCACTGACTGATTGTGGCTTGCATCGCTGCATTTTGTATGGCTGCTACCCCTCTATGTGTTCTCTGATCACTTGGTATGGCCTTTACCCTTCTGTGCATTCTCTGAGCACTTGGTGCGGCTGCTACCCTTCTGTGCATTCTCTGAGGACCTGGTGCAGCTGCTACCCTTCTGTGCGTTCTCTGAGCACTTGGTGCGGGTGCTATGGTACAACTGCTACCTCATTCTTCTCTGAGCCTTCACAGTCTCATCTGGAAGTAGGTAGGTGGCTTGGTAGGTGAAACGTGATTCAAAGTGGGCTGCATCTGTTAATGGGGCAGGCCAAAGTGTTTCATCTGCCTGATCTCATTCAAGAAGCATGTGTAATACCTCCATCTCAACTTTTATAAGCCACATTAACTGTACTACCCAAAAGTCCCAGAAAGCAAATAAAGCCCATAACATTAAAACCAAGAAGCCTGTCTTGCTCCTTAACTGTAAAGACCTCACGGTCTCAGTT